TGATATTTGAATTTTTCAAAAGGTCTATGGGGGAAAATGAATGGAAAATTTACTTCAGACTTCAAAGTGGGCGGGACAGTGGGGCTTCATTAATCTCTCCAGTTACAGGAAAGTTAGCTGCTGCAAAAGATGCTTATTGTAGATGTAGACAGGCCTATCACGCTAACAAATGGTAACGTGTTTTATATTGCTACATAAATTATCACAATATACAACAGTGTAATTAATTACTGCCATGGACAGAATAATACAAAAGTGCAAGTTTCTAAATCTACAATATTTATAACATGAGTTGCAAATAAAGTCATAGACAAGGTAGTTATTCAACCCTCCATAGTTACACTGCATTATGAAACTAAGAAAATTTACAAACGATAAATATTGAGCTGCAAAAATATTGTTCAGCCACCATTTAGTGAACAAATTATTGAATTTAAAGTCTACATAGCCATAATAATGAATAAGTAAGTAATAAAAATAGTTGTAGGTCTTTTCTTTGTGTGACTTTAACCTCCTTCCATTCTTTCTCTCTCCTCTTTTGCTCGTCCCCTAAATCTCGTCTTACATCCTCGTGGTACAGTCCAGACCAGACCAGCTTCTGCACAGCCCCCTGGCCTGGGGCGGAGCCTGGCACAGCCTCACCACAGGCAAAGGACCCACCCAACTTCTTCTAATCCAACAACCAACCATAACTGCCCCCACAACTACTCCTATTGCCCCACCGCAAAACCATGTCAAGAAGGGCACCGGACGCAGCAACCAGGCACATAAGAATTCCTATTTACCCATTCTTAATTCGTATCCTCGTATTGCTCCTCACCCCCGGAAGGAGAGCCATGAGAGTAAGGGGGGTATTAGGGCAAGCGGGGGTAAAGAAAGTGGAAGCGAAGGCCAAAGTCAAAGCAAAAGAGTATGCACTGAAGGAGAGGCAGTTTCAACCACGACACATCTCCTCAAACCACACCAACAGCAGAAAGAAGCCAGGGTTCACTCTTACTCGCAACATAAAAATCGATCTAGTCACCACTACGCAGCCAATCAGGCGCACTCAACCACCCAAACCAAAAAACACCACTCCCAGCAAAGTTCCAGCTCGGATAGCATCAGTTCTCCGTCTGTGTCTAGTTCACAAACTCCGTCTCCTCCATGCTCCTCTGACTCTCCATCCTCCTCTTCTTCTCCCCCTTCTTCCTCGCCATCATCATCGGCCGCACCCAGCCCCTATCGCCCCACTCCGGATAGTACTTCAATGAGGCAGCGTCGGTTTCTCAATACCGCCGATATTAAACCAATCGGGTTTGCTCGCCATAACACTCCGCACCAAGGAGCTATTGAAACAGAATGCAGCTACAGAGAGAGAGATCGCCCAGCTACGCCAGCACACACAGTATTTATGTCAAGCGGCGCAGGCTTCCCAAACTGAGTCTAATGAAAGTACGCAAAGTCTTGAGAAGCTAGTCCAAGCCATGAGCGAGTCGGGATCATACCCAGAGATGGATTTGAACCAACTGAAAGCACTCACAAACCAAGCAAGCAAAATCAAAGATGATAAAGAGGAAAAGACCAAGCCAAACCCGACCACTAACGGGCTGCCGACTGTAATATCGTTGCACAACATTGATGATGGGACCTCTCCGCCCTCTCCTCTGTTCGCCCCTTCACCAGAAGCAGAAGAATCGGAGCACGCCAACGCTGTTTTGGATGCACTGCCTTCCTCCCTGCAGCGTGTAGACTCAGAACAGCCCCACAGGTCGGCTGTTACTGACAAAGACTTGAGTGATCTTACAATGTTGCCAGAAAGTTCAACTCATAATGATTATCTCCTCTAGTCTAGCTCCAAAAGTCAAGAATGCAGCTATTAAGGCAAGACACTACAGGCAAAACTAGTTATTTTCTATGTTTGCCTTTCTGGTCACTTTGCTCTCTCGAAATATAATCACCTGAGAAAAACAGCATTGTCCAAACTGCACCTAAAGATGTTTTTTTTTTAACTTGCATCCATAGATTTATATGCAACATCGTAACCTCAAAGGTTGATTCACAAAATGCTTTTTTTTCTCCCAAAGAGAAGACAGAAAGATCATCCTGTCAAGTTGATTTTGATTGATTGTAAAGAAGGATTTGTTGAGATCTATTTCTAAGAGTTATTTATTAATTAAATTAAAACTCTAAAAAATAAGGCACTTTTTGACTTGTATGCCATTTTTCAGATCGAGTTTACTCAAATAATAAAAAAGATATACAAAATGCCCTTTGAAAAAGGTTTTCTATCTAATTTGTCAACATGTTAAATGCCTTATTTATATATGAACATTTTAAATGATATGATGGAAAAACTTGCAATACAAATGTTCTTACATTTATGTAAGTAAACTAAAGAAGTGTCATATTGATATCTCCACATTTATATTTATTATTTAAAGTTTCCCTATTCACCTGCAGTGTCTCGCCATAAAGGCATTAATCATGATAATAAGATTGGTCGGTGAATTATCATGATCATTCAATATATTTTCTTACTTTGATATGGCATAAATGTCTTTGGCTTGTACCAAGTGTGTGCCGTACATGGCCACAGTTTTAGCAACATAAATATATCTAATAATGTAATATAGCTGTCTGGTTTGATGTGGAAGTCCCAACATGCAATTAGACTGATACAACCATTGAAATCAGTGTTCTTTGCTTACATATACCATTGTCATTACCTCTTTGATATTTGACAGTATATTCACAACATCCTGAACATTTTACAAGTTGCTTAAAATCTATACTGTAAGATATATTGGTTTGTTTTTTTTGGCTTATTTGTATTCATATTAAGTTTCATGATTACCACTGTCTTTGAAATATGAAGTATGTATATACCAGGGTGTATTATATAGTATATGATCAGATACTTTCTGCTGGACCTACTGTACCATTTGTTCTTTTTAGATTTCATTTGACTTTTTCTAATGCACAGACGGATTGATGGTGATGGATGTGACCTTTGACCTTTTATTGTGTCACTGAATGAAAATCCACATGACAGGACACTGGCATTGCACACTGTAGTCTAGTAGTACATTATAACTGAATGATTTTTTTTACTGACAATGATGAAAATATTGTACTGTAGTAGCACACTATGTGACTTTTAGATTTCTTCATTGAGTTTCCTTTGAATGTCTGAAGCGGGCATAGCGAGGATGTGGATTTTTGCTTTTCTCTTTCAATTTTAACATTTTAAAATCATATACATTTCATATTTTGCTGTAGGACACAAATCTTATTTTGTGTTTAGACGCAATCTAGCTTTTAATTCAGACTATTAATAAATCGGCTCTTGACCACTTCTGTGTATGCTTTTCTTTTCTCGGTGTTAATGGTGCGACATTTCTAGTAGAGGGTCTGTTACCTCTTGTCTCCATGGAGATGTCATTGCTTTGTTACATGGTAGAGATTACCGGTCAGATCTGTGGAGTCGCCCCTATTCACATAGAGAATCATTGTTATTTTGAGCATGGAACACCCATAATGAATAAATACTAAATGGATTTGATTAATGTCATACCATGGAACACTCCAGGCAAAGCATTCACATCTCCATGGAGACAAGCAGATGGCGGACTCTCCACCAGAAAAGTTACACAATGCACCTTTAAGAATACCTCGTTCCACTATTACTTTAAAGGTGCACTATGTAAACTTCTATTCTTAACATGTGCAGGTTTGCTCCTCCATTGATCTGACCATTGACCTGTCTCCATTGTAATTAGCAGATTTATTTCCATACTGTGGAATAAAAGCCGTAATATCTCCATGGAGACAAGCAGGTGACGGATCTTCACCGGAAACATTACACAGCGCCTTTAACCGATGGAGTTAATTTAACCTTTTGAGTTAATTAGATAACAACCATTTACCCGAAAGACAGTAATGAAACCTCTCTTTTAAACGGGAAGATCTCTTTACAATTATGTTCCTATCATCAACATGGGCTTTCAGTGATGTTAAATGGTTCCCAGTAGGTGGCACTGTCCCCCTGTGTATAATTGAAGGCTCGGAATAGCTTTTTGTATGAAGCCCATGTGCTACAATTTCATTTTATTCAGTCATGCAATTTCAGCGTTGTGTTTTAACAAGAAATCCAATTAAGACAGCACATGATAATTTAACAACCAACTGTTACGATGCCATGGCAGGCCTGTTGAGTTGTACACCTGCATCCAGTGATCTGATTCATTTAGATTATTTTTTTAACATCTCTCTAGCAAATACTGCATTGGTTTGTATTACCATGGCCTATAATTTTTGATATGTATAATTGATATGTGATATTCAACTGTGATATGTCAAATTATACTCATCAGTCTGAAGAAATTAATCTGAACATCATTGTGAGGTAAGCAAATTAAGTGTCACTTCTTATCATTATCTGTATGAGGCGGCTAAAATACAGTATTAAAGAGCCCATATTATACTATTTTCTGATCTACAGTATGTTATAATATTGTTTCCTCATCAAAAATATATCTGGAGCAGTGTTTTGTTTCACTGACATGTTTAACACAAACCCGGCATTATTCTTTTAAAGAGAAAAATTCAACCTGGTGATGTTATGTGTTAATATAGGACGTGCTCCACTGTGTTTTTAAACTTCACAAACCTTCACTAGAATCATCTGGATCTTTTCATCTCTGTTGAACCAAATGTCAAAGGAAGCTGTTAACTTGAAAACTGCTACTTCATGACATCACAAGGTGGAACGGAACATTTTGAGCTTTGGGTATGTAGACAGACTAAGTGTTACTCAAACATGTGTGAATGAAACAAAACACAACTCCGGGTATGTTTTTGAGGAGCTAACAACATTATAACATACTTAAAACTCTTTAAAAAAGAGTCGATTTTGCGTAACATAGGACCTTTAAGTAAACATAATAGGCTAAGATTGTTTACAATATTATATGAATGTAGCCTGTGTGTGCACTTTTCAGACAAAAAACAAAAACAACTTGCATTTATTGAGTATTTATTATAATTTCACACAACAGTCACACTTTAAAATCACTCTTTCAACTTGATTTCACACTTTCCACAGCTCAAAATAAATCACGCAGGTACATTAAGAAAACATAATATTTTTGTAACATAATCTGGTGGTAGGTGGAATTCAAGCCTACAAATAGTAAGCTTCTATTACTCATAGCTTATACGTATATTTTCAAACTATTGCACATATACAAACACACACACAAAGCTTTATCTCATATATTAAAGATTTTTCACACTAACATCAAGCGAGTTTATTTGTTTGTTGTTGTTATTGTTTTCAGGGCATCCTTCTTGGCAGCAGATGCAGCAGGAGCAACAGCAGCTGTAGCAGTAATGTTGAAGCTGGCAGAGGAGTCCAGTGGATGGGTCTGTGACATACGCCTCTGCTCCTTCGCTGATTGAACCTTCTCGAACAATCTGCTCATTCAGGGATTCCAGTGATGTTTGGTTAGCTTTGTCGTTAGTTTTCAATGTCCTGATAGAATGTTGTGATGTACTGGCTTCCACCGTTTTACGCTCTACTGTTATCCACGTGTCTTTATCCTGCTGTATAAGTGGTCTCTTCACAACTCTACTGATGTTTTTTATTCTTATCTCCAAGTTGCTCTTAAGCTGCTGTCCTCTTTGCTTCATCTGATTGAGCTCTTTACGTTCCTTGGATGTTTCCTTCCATAACTGCCTCAGATAATCTTTTTTAGACACTTTTTCGTCAGCAGAAGCAATCAAACTTTCTATTGAAGAAGACAAGCTTGATTGTTTGCTTGGCCATTCCTTGTATTTTTCAGTTTTTCCGTCTTTCTTTCGTTCAAAGTTGGTTGCACTTTCAGATGTCGTAGCCAAGTCGTGTGCTCGCTTCAAGGTCAGTTCTTCAGTTTGCATTGCCTTGTCACACATCATAATCTTTGGTTGTGTTTTCTCTTGTTCCCTTTGGACTGTATCATAATGCCAGACTATTTCATTTTTTATTTTCTTAACCTCTGCACATTGTTTCTCAATGTCTCTACTTAACTGAAGTAAGTGTAAACTGTCCAGCTGCATTCTTTGTAATTTTTCTTCCATTTGACAGTCTCCCAATTGCCAACACTGTTTGAATTTGACAAAGAGATCTTCCATAGACTTTGCAGCCAATTTAAGATGATTTTCTTGAGATTTTAACTGCAACAATTTTACTTCCAGCTCTTGCTTTTCAGTAAGCAGCATTGCCTTCTCATTATCAACCCTTTTCTTCATGTGATTAAAATCTTCCATGTCTTCTTGGAGTTTTTCTTCTCTGCTAAGTAGTTTTGCTTTCCTGATCTCCATCTCATCTCTCTCATCTTGAAAATCTTGTTGTGTTTTATGTAATAATCTGTTTTGATTTTGGATGTCTGATTTAAGCATTTCCAAGTCTTCAAACTCTTTCTTGGAAGTCTCTCTTAGTGATTCAAGTTCTTTCCTTTCATTTTGGAGTTTTTTGAAATCTTGCTTTTCTAATGTTGCGGTAGACTTCATCTCATCACTCAGTTCCTCACTTTGAGTTGTCAGTGCATTCATAAGAGCTGCCTTTTCCACTTCAAAAATCTTACTATAACTTGCCAAGTCCTCTTTCATTGTATTCAGTTCTGCAAGTTTTTGTTTTAACACAGTGCTCGCAGTCACTATCTGTTCTTGGTTTAGTTCAATTTGTTTCTCTTTGCTTGTTAAATTTAGAATGCTTTTGTTCATCATTATCATAAAACATTGCAGAATGTTTTTAAGTTGAGACAGATCTGATTGTAATGGTCTTGTTTGCTCTGTCATAGCACTTTCTTCCATTCGTTGGTATGACTCTTTGTCTTTATCAGTATCCAGATATCCAGTTTGGTCTTGTTCTGAAAATTCTGTGTCTTGGACTTCTGTTACGCTTCTTCTAATTTGCAACATGTTCATAAAGGTGTTTAGCTTCTCTTTGCTTTTCTGAACAGAAGCAGCGGTCTGTTTAATGCTGTTGTTTTCCATCTTCACCGCACCAGTAATACAACTAAGATCAGTTTTACCACGCTGTAACTCTTCCAAAGTGTTTTCCAAGACATTCTTAACTGTTTTCAAATCTGAAATTTGTTTTTGTAATTTCTCATCATAGTTTCTATAATCTAGTCTGACTGGCTCATACTCTTCTGTCTGAGTTCCATCATCGATAGTCTGTTTTTCCAGCTTCACTGTTGTGTCAGCTTCTGTTTCGTGCCTTCTGGAGATGCTGGAAGAAATTGTGGGAAAATTTTCCATTTCCTCTTGAAGCAACTTTGAATAAAACTTTACTCTGCTCTTCTCTTCATGTAGCTGATCACAGTTTTGCTTTACTTTGATGCACAATTTCAAAAGCATGTCACTGTTGTCTTCCAGTTGCTGTATTTTTTGAAAGATACCTTCACTTCTCTGTTGTGCCAATTGCTTAAGACGAATACTTAGTTGTTCTATAAGTGCCATTTTGCTTGCAAGTTCATCCTCTTGCATTTTCAGGTTTTCTTCTTTTTGTTTGGACTCAGCTATGAACATCTCTCTTTCTTGTTCCAGAGTTATCTTGTCTTGAGTGAGCTGCTCTGAAATTGAGGTAGTATCATCCTCTTTTTTGACCAATGTGGTTTCCTCTGCTGTAATTGGATCCACACGCAGTTCTTGGTTCATCTTATCAATTCTGTCTTTGTTTCTTTGAAGCTCAAGGGCAAATTCTTTCACATAAATATTCACTCTTTTTAATTCCATTGTAAGTAAATCTGTTTGTTCAGTTTTCTTCATAAGTTCATTCTTTGTTCTTTGGAGTGCGGTTTTGTTTACTTCAAGGTCTTCTAACAGTTTCCTTAAATTGTCCATGAATTTGTACAGATAATTTCTTGTCTTCTGCATCTCATCTTTCTCTTTGTCCATCTTGTCCCTCTCTTGATCCAGCTCCTGTCTCTCCTTCTTTACTTCTGTGCTCGGTGTCTCTGCCTCCTTTCTCTCTAGTAGAGGTTTTTGCTTTTGTCCGGTGAAGAGAGTGAGTGTCTCTCTGAGATTGTCCTTTTGGCTCTCCAACAGTTGAATGGACTGGGCCATCTTGTCTCTATCCTGGTCCAGAGCTGCAAGCTTCTGCCACAGTCTGTCCATGGCTTGCATGTGTAGTTGTAATGTGCTCCTGTTGTGTTGGAGGAGTCCTCTCAGATGGCTCAGATGCTCTGCCATATTGCAAAGCTGGTCTTGTCTTCTCCTCAGTTCTGTGTTCATCTGCTCCTCTTGTTTCAGCAGTTTCAACCTATCCTGACTGAGCTGGTGCCTCTGTTCTCTGATCTCCTCCCATGACAAGTCTAGGTCCACAATTTTATGAAGCACTTCAGTTTGGTCTCTCTTTTGTAGCTCTTCTCTTTGTTTCATTTCATCATGTTGAAGTTCAATGTCATGTTTTGTCACTGCCATTTCCTCCTCAATTTTAGCTTTATCAATGAGACTCAAGGTGGAAGCATCATCTCTTTTAACTTTAAATTCCTTCATTTGTAGATCCAGCTGTTCTCTTTCAGTTTGTAATTTTTGCCTGTCTTCCTGAAACTGCAGTTTCTCATCCTGGAATAGTCTCATTGCAGTTTGAGTCTCTTGTTGTTTTCTGTCTAATTCCTTCCCCAGCTCTTCCACTTCTCCTCTCTCTGTCATGAGATATTCCGTAGAGGTTCCCTGATCTTTCACTTGTGATTTCTGTTCTTGTTTGAGTCTCATCATATCGTCTTCTGGTTCCACTTCTTGTCTTTTCATTTCCAGACCCATCCTCTCATTTTGAAGCCTTTGTATTTCTTCATTGAGATGCGTAATTGTGGCTGCAGCATCTTGTGCCTTCATTTCAAAATTCTCCCTTAGTTCTTCCACTTGTTGTCTTTCAGCTTGCAGCTGTTCAGTGGAGATTTGTAGATCTTTGAATAGTGTGTCCAGTTCTTGTTGTCTTTGTTGAAGTTTGATATCTTGCTGTTGCATGATGTTGTCTTGTTTTCCCATTTCCTCCCTCTTTATTTCCAGATCCATCCTCTCTTTTTCAATCTTTTGTCTTTCTTCATTGATTAAGGTAACTGTGACTGCAATATCTTGTTCCTTCCTGTTTACTTCCTTGTTTAACACTTGTAAATGTTCTTCTTGAATTTGCAATGATCTACTTTTCTCTTCAATCTTTTGGTTTTCTTCACTAATATTATTCAGAGTGGCCTCAGTCTCGCATTGTTTTTTGTCTAAAGTCTCCCTGAGTTCTTCAAGTTGTTGTCTTTCAGCTTGTAGTCGTTCAGTGGAGATTTGCAGATCTTTGATTTGTGTTTCTACTTTTTCTTGTCTTAGTTTTAGTTTGTCAGCTTCTTGTTGTGTCAGACTGTCTTGTAATTCAATTTCCTGTCTCTTTATTTCCAGATCCATCTTCTCCTTTTCAAGCCTTTGTGTTTCTTCACTGATCTTGTCCATAGCGGCCTCAACCTCTTGTACTTTTCTGTCTAAATTCTCCTTTAGTTCTTCAACTTGTTGTCTTTCCTCCTGTAGTCGTTCTGTGGAGGTCTGTAGATCTGTGAACTGTGTGTCCAGTTCTTCTTGTCTCAGTTTTAGTTTGGCAGCTTCTTGCTGTGCCCAATGGTCTTGGAGTTCCACTTCCTGTTTCTTTCTTTCCAGATCTGTCCTCTCTTTGTAAAGCTTCTGTTTTTCTTCATTGATAAAGGCCATTGTGGCTGCTACATCTTGTTCTTTCTTGTTTACTTCCTCCATTAATATTTGTAAGTGTTCTGCTTCAGCTTGACATGCTCTGCTTTTCTCTTCAAGCTTTTGTTTTTCTTTGTTGATCTTGTCCATAGTTGCTTCAGTCTCCTGTCTTCTTCTATGTAAATTTTCCCTTAGTTCTTCCACTTGTTGTCTTTCAGCTTGTAATCTTTCAGTGGAGATTTGCAAAGCTTTTAGTTGTGTCTGCACCTCCTCTTCTCTCAGTTTTATTTTGAGGGCTTCATGTTGTATTAAATTATCTTGTTTTTCCACAGCCTGTCTCATTATTTCCAGATCTGCCCTCTCTTGGTAAAGCTTTAGTTTTTCTTCACCGATAACGGCCATTGTTCCTGCAGCATGTTGTTCTTTTTCGTTTACTTCCTTCGTTAATATTTTCAGATGTTCTTTTTCTGTTTCCAACATTTTCCATTCCTCTTGAAGTTTTTGTTTCTCGATATTGATCATGTTTGTAGCAACCTCATTTGCATTTCTTTCTCTGTCTAAATCCTTCTTTAAGTCTTCCATTTGTTGTCTCTCAGCTTGTAGCAGTTCGGTGGAGGTTTGCAGTTCTTTCATTTGTGCCTTTAGTTCATTTTGTCTCAGCGCTAGTTCTTGGTCCACTTCCTCTTTCTTTACCTCCAACTCAGCCCTCTCCTTGCTGATCTTGTCCATAATTGCCTGAGCTTCTTGTCTTTTACTAGCTAAATTCTGCTTTAGTTCTTCTTCTTGTTGTCTTTCTGCTTGTCGTCTTTCAGTGGAGATTTGTAGATCTTTGAATTGTCTTTCCAGTTCTTCTTGTTTCAGTTTTAGTTTGGCAGCTTCTTGCTGTAATAAATGGTCTTGTTGTTCCACCTCCTGTCTCTTCATTTCCAGATCTGTCATCTCATTTTGGAGCTTTTGTTTTTCTTCATTGATCAAGGCTACAGTGGCTGCTACATCTTGTTCTCTCCTGTTTATTTCCTTCTTTAAAAATTGTAAGTGTTCTTCCTCAGTTTGCAATTGTCTTTTCTCTTCAAGCTTACTTTCTTCATGCATCGTGTCCATAGTTGCCTCAGTTTCACATATTTTGATATCTAAATTCTCCCTTAGCTCTTCCACTTCTTGTCTTTCAGCTCTTAGTTTTTCAGTGGAGATCTGAAGATCTTTGATTTGTCTCTCCATCTCTTCTTGTTTCAGTTTTAGTTTGGCAGCTTCTTGTTGTGTCAGATTGTCCTGTTGTTCCACTTCCTGTTTCTTTATCTCCAACTCTGTCCTTTCTTGATGAAGCCTCTGTTTTTCCTCATTCAGAAAGGTCATTAACCCTTCAGCATCTTGTCCTGTTTGTAATGTTCTCATGATTTCTTGAAGTTGTTGTTTCTCTTCAGTTATGAGCTTCATTGCAGCCTCTGTCTCTTGTGTTTTAGTTTCCAGGTCTTTCTGCAACATTTCCACTTGTTGTCTCTCAGCTTTTAGCTGTTCAGTGGAGATTTGAAGATCTTTCAATTGTGTCTCTACCTCTTCTTGTTTCAGTTTCACTTTGGCAGCTTCTTGTTGTGCCAAATGGTCTTGTTGTTCCACCTCTTGTCTCTTCATTTCCAGATCTGTCATGTCATTTTGGAGCTTTTGTTTTTCTTCATTGAGAATGACCATTATTGCAGCAACATCTTGTTCATCTTGTTCTTTCCTGTCTACATCCTCAGTTTGCAATTGTCTTCTTTTCTCATCAACCTTCTTGTCGTCATATCTTCTTTCGTCTGTAGTCTCCCTTACTCCATCCACTTCTTGTCTTTCAGCTTGTAGTTTTTCAGTGGAGATCTGAAGATCTTTGATTTGTGTCTCCAGCTCTTCTTGTCTCAATTTTAGTTTGGCAGCTTCTTGTTGTGTCACATTGTCCTGTTGTTCCACTTCCTGTTTCTTTATCTCCAACTCTGCCCTTTCTTGGTGAAGCCTCTGTTTTTCCTCATTCAAAAAGGTCATTAACACTTCAGCATCTTGCCCTGTTTGTAATGTTCCCATGATTTCTCGTAGTTGTTGTTTCTCTTCATTTATGAGCTTCATTGCAGCCTCTGTCTCTTGCGTTTTTGTTTCAAGTTCTTTCTGCAGCATTTCCACTTGTCGTCTCTCAGCTTGTAGCAGTTCGGTGGAAGTTTGCAGTTCTTTCATTTGTGCCATAAGGTCATTTTGTCTGAATTCTAGTTCAAGTGCATCTTGTTCTACTTCTTGTTTCTTTATCTCCAACTGGGCCTTCTCTTCTCTGATCGTGTCCATAGTTGCCTCAGTCTCATGTCTTTTTCTGTCTAAATTGTCCCTTAGGTCTTCCACTTCTTGCCTTTCAGCTTGTATTCTTTCAGTGGAGATATGAAGATCCTTGATTTGTAACTCCAGCTCTTCTTGTTTCAGTTTTAGTTTGGCAGCTTCTTGTTGTGTCAAATTCTTTTGTTGTTCCACTTCCTGTTTCTTTATCTCAAACTCTGTCCTTTCTTGGTCAAGCCTCTGTTTTTCCTCATTCAGAAATGTCATTAACCCTTCAGCATCTTGCCCTGTTTGTAATGTTCTCATGATTTCCTGAAGTTGTTGTTTCTCTTCATTTATGAGCTTCAGTGCTGCCTCTGTCTCTTAGTGTTTTTGTTTGCAGTTCGTTCTGCAACATTTCCACTTGTCGTCTCTCAGCTTGTAGCTGTTCAGTGGAGGTTTGCAGTTCTTTCATTTGTGCCTCAAGGTCATTTTGTCTCATCTCTTGTTCAAGAGCATCTTGTTCCACCTCCTCTCTCTTTACCTCCAGCTCGGCCTTCTCTCTGCTGATTTGTGGCTCCACCTTTTCTTGCTTCAGTTTTATTTTAGCATCTTCTGTTTGTGTCCAATGGTCTTGTTGTTGCACCTCTTGTCTCTTCATTTCCAGTTCAGTTCTCTCAACATCTTGTTCTTTCCTGTGTACTTCCCCAGTCTCTAATTGGCTTCTTTTCTCATCAAGTTTCTTCTTTTCTTCAGTGGTCTTGTCGATAGTGGCCTCAGTTTCATGTCTCCTATCTAGACTCTTCCTTAGTTCATCCACTTCTTGTCTTTCAGCTTGTAGTCTTTCAGTGGAGATCTGAAGATCTTTGATTTGTGTCTCCAGCTCTTCTTGTCTCAATTTTAGTTTGGCAGCTTCTTGTTGTGTCAGATTGTCCTGTTGTTCCACTTCCTGTTTCTTTATCTCCAACTCTGCCCTTTCTTGGTGAAGCCTCTGTTTTTCCTCATTCAAAAAGGTCATTAACACTTCAGCATCTTGCCCTGTTTGTAATGTTTCCATGATTTCTGGTAGTTGTTGTTTCTCTTCATTTATGAGCTTCATTGCAGCCTCTGTCTCTTGCGTTTTTGTTTCAAGTTCTTTCTGCAGCATTTCCACTTGTCGTCTCTCAGCTTGTAGCAGTTTCGGTGGAAGTTTGCGGTTCTTTCATTTGTGCCATAAGGTCATTTTGTCTGAATTCTAGTTCAAGTGCATCTTGTTCCACTTCTTGTTTCTTTATCTCCAACTGGGCCTTCTCTTCTCTGATCGTGTCCATAGTTGCCTCAGTCTCATGTCTTTTTCTGTCTAAATTGTCCCTTAGGTCTTCCACTACTTTTCTTTCAGCTTGTAGTTTTTCAGTGGAGATCTGAAGATCTTTGATTTGTGTCTCCAGCTCTTCTTGTCTCAGTTTTAGTTTGGCAGCTTCATGTTGTGTCAAATGCTCTTGTTGTTCCATTTCCTGTTTCTTTATCTCCAATTCTTTCCTTTCTTGATGAAGCCTCTGTTTTTCCTCATTCAGAAAGGTCATTAACCCTTCAGCATCTTTTCCTGTTTGTAATGTTCTCATGATTTCTTGAAGTTGTTGTTTCTCTTCATTTATGAGCTTCATTGCTGCCTCTGTCTCTTGTGTTTTTGTTTCCAGGTCTTTCTGCAACATTTCCACTTGTTGTCTTTCAGCTTTTAGCTGTTCAGTGGAGTTTTGAAGATCTTTCACTTGTGCCTCAAGGTCATTTTGTCTCATCTCTTGTTCAAGAGCATCTTGTTCCACCTCCTCTCTCTTTACCTCCAGCTCGGCCTTCTCTTTGCTGATTTGTGGCTCCACCTTTTCTTGCTTCAGTTTTATTTTAGCATCTTCTGTTTGTGTCCAATGGTCTTGTTGTTGCACCTCTTGTCTCTTCATTTCCAGTTCAGTTCTCTCAACATCTTGTTCTTTCCTGTGTACTTCCTCAGTTTGCAATTGGCTTCTTTTCTCGTCAAGTTTCTTTTCTTCACTGGTCTTGTCGATAGTGGCCTCTGTTTCATGTCTCTTATCTAGATTCGTCCTTAGTTCATCCACTTCTTGTCTTTCAGCTTGTAGTTTTTCAGTGGAGATCTGAAGATCTTTGATTTGTGTCTCCAGCTCTTCTTGTCTCAATTTTAGTTTGGCAGCTTCTTGTTGTGTCAGATTGTCCTGTTGTTCCACTTCCTGTTTCTTTATCTCCAACTCTGCCCTTTCTTGGTGAAGCCTCTGTTTTTCCTCATTCAAAAAGGTCATTAACACTTCAGCATCTTGCCCTGTTTGTAATGTTTCCATGATTTCTGGTAGTTGTTGTTTCTCTTCATTTATGAGCTTCATTGCAGCCTCTGTCTCTTGCGTTTTTGTTTCAAGTTCTTTCTGCAGCATTTCCACTTGTCGTCTCTCAGCTTGTAGCAGTTTGGTGGAAGTTTGCGGTTCTTTCATTTGTGCCATAAGGTCATTTTGTCTGAATTCTAGTTCAAGTGCATTTTGTTCCACTTCTTGTTTCTTTATCTCCAACTGGGCCTTCACTTCTCTGATCGTGTCCATAGTTGCCTCAGTCTCATGTCTTTTTCTGTCTAAATTGTCCCTTAGGTCTTCCACTACTTTTCTTTCAGCTTGTAGTTTTTCAGTGGAGATTTGAAGATCTTTGATTTGTGTCTCCAGCTCTTCTTGCCTCAGTTTTAGTTTGGCAGCTTCTTGTTGTGTCACATTCTCTTGTTGTTCCACTTCCTGTTTCTTTATCTCCAATGCTTTCCTTTCTTGGTGAAGCCTCTGTTTTTCTTCATCAAGAGAAGTCATTAATACTTCAGCATCCTGTTCTGTTTGTAATGTTTTATTTATTTCCATAAGTTGTTGTTTTTCTTCATTTATTGCAACCTCTGCCTCTTGTAATTTTGTTTTCAGGTCTTTCCATAACATTTCCAGTTGTTGTCTTTCAGCTTGAGTGGAGGTTTGCAGTTCTTTCATTTGTGCCTTTAGTTCATTTTGTCTGAACTGTAGTTCAAGAGCATCTTGTTCTACTTCCTGCCTCTTTACCTCCAACTCAGCCCTCTCTTTGCTGATCTTGTCCATAGTTTCCTCAGAGTCTTGTCTTTTTCTGTTCAAATTCTCCCTTAGTTCCTCCATTTGCTGTTTTTCGGCTTGTAGCCATTCAGTGGATATTTGAAGATCTTTGATTTGTTTCTCCATGTCTTCTTGCCTCAGTTTTAGTTTGGCAGCGTCCTCTTGAGTTAAATGGTCTTGTAATTCCACTTCTTGTTTTTTTATGGCCATTTCTGTCCTCTCTTTTTCAAGCTTTTGTTTTTCTTCATTGAGAAAGGTCATTGTGGCTGCTACATCTTGTTCTTTCCTGTTTACTTCCTCCTTTAACATTTCTAAGTGTTCTTCTTGAGTTTGCAATGTTCTACTTTTCTCTTCAAGATTTAGTTTTTCTTCATTGATCTTGTCCATAGTTGCTTCAGTCTCATGTATTTTTCTGTCTAAATTCTCCTTCAGTTCTTCCACTTGTTGTCTTTCAGCTAGTAATCGTTCAGTGGAGATTTGTAGTTCTTTGAATTGTCTGTCCAGTTCATCTTGTCTATGTTTAAGTTTGATATCTTCTTCTCGTGTCATGTTGTCTTGTCTCTCCACTTCTTGTCTCATTATTTCCAGATCTGTCCTTTCTTTCTGAAGCTTTTGCTTTTCTTCATCAGTAAAGACCACTGCATCTTTTTCTTTCATGGTTTCCTTTCTGGTTGCTTCCACTTTTAATTCACCCAGGTGTTCTTTTTCAGTTTGTGACAGTCTCCAGCTCTCTACAATCTGCAAATTTTCTTCCTCTCTTTCCCCCTCATCTGTAGTTTCTTGCATGTCTTTCCTTTGTTTTTCCTCACATTTTTGTTGCTGTTTTAATTTGTCTTGTTGACTTTCCTTTTCTTCTTTCTTCGCATCAACCTCAGCCACCATTTCGGAAAGCAGCTGGTTTTCTTCACTAATAATACTCCTAGCTTCAGTCTCTTCTCTCTCTCTACTGATTTTCTCGATTAACATTTCAAGTTGTTGTGTTTCAGCAGGTGTCCACTGTCTTATTTGAAGCAATCTTTCCTCTCCACCGATCCCCATAGTAACCATTGTCTCTTGTATTTTTCTGTCCTCACCCTCTCTCTGTTTTTCCAATTGTTTTTTCTCCATCTTAAGCTGTTCATTTGAACATTGGATCTCTTTAAATTGTACTTCCAGATCTTTTTGTCTCGCCTCTAGTTCCTGTAGCTTGATTTCGTATTCATCTTCCATTTCCTGTCTTCTCATATCAAAGACATTCCGAGCCTCTTGTGCTTCCTTGTTCAATGCCCTTTTTAGTTCTTCCAGTTGTTCTCTTTCAGCATTTAATTCTTGCCTACATTGTTCCAGCTCTTCTAGTAGCGATGATTCTTGTTTTGAGGTAATTGTGTCTATTACATACTGAACCTCTTGGTATTTAAGTTGGACATGATCAGCTAACTCCTTTAATCTCTTTTTCTCAGAGATGACATCTTTCAACAAAGAGTCAACCTGGTTCTTCCTTTCCGTCAGAAGAACAAGCATGTCCGTAAGTTTGTCTTTTTCCTTGGTTATGTT